CCGCAGCCAGCGCGGGGCCGGCCCCCGGCGAAACACCGGTAGATAAAGCGGCGAAAGAAACCCATGCCGACGCCAGGACGTGCTGCAGTAGCTGTAAAATAAGAAGCTTTAAACAAACAAACAAAAAAACCCCAAAGACCAAGAAAAACCACACACGCAGCTGTATCAAAACAAAAACTATCAGTTATACCAAAACAGAAGTATCATAACCCAAACTTGGTAAATCTAGGTTTTTACTTTTTGCCATTTTCTTCCACTTTCTCTTGCCTTCAAAACTCAAACCTTGCGTGACCGTGACTGGATTATTGCACGTATAAACTGGGATGGCTCAGCGTATTTGGAGTAAAGCTCTTTTTTTTTTTTTTCTTTAAAGGCCTTTTGCTTTCTGATAGCAACCAACAGCTTTCTCATTGAGTCTCCTCGTCCTGACCACGGACTGCAGCTGAAGTTTTTACATATGTTGGCTCAGAGACTTTTAAGATCAGCTTAGGCTCATGCCAGACAAGATTCCCAGCGCCGAAGGCGAGGGACGTTTGGAAGAGCAGGCAGATGGCGATGTGTGATGCGGAGATGGCGCTGCCCGGCCGAGCGGGGCAAATTCCCATCTCCCCCTCTCCAAAGTCAGCGCCGCTGCCCAGAAATCAGCGGAGAAGAGAGACAACCTTCTGCTGCTGAATTAATGACGTGAGTGAACGAGAAAATGTTTACTCACATGGCTAAAAACGCTGCAAAGCAGTTCTCTAGCACTTCCAGGTCTTCGTGCTCCCGCCTGGGCAATAATGCAAAAACATTTCTTCAGCACGTCCCAGCAGAAGCAGAAAAAATAAAAGTGTGCAAAGACCAAAAGATAACAGGGAAAAGAAGTTACATTTAATTTTGATTAACTAGGGGGGAAAAAAAAAAAACGTTGGATCACCAACCTCGTCAAACAGATCAAAAACAAGCTGCTTTTAAGAGACACAAGAAGCATTAACCTGGGTTAGGATCAAGTCAATGCAGACTACGATAGCAATCCGCCGATTTACATCCTTTCATAAAATATCCACCTGAACCTGAGAGAAAATGTGAAATTCTTTTGGAACTATTACAATGGGATGTTAAATTAAATAATAAATCAACTCTACATTTATAAATACACTGATTCTACCTGTCATGGACATTCAAAACTATTTTATTAAGCAAAGGAGCTTAAAGCTTAACTGGAATTATGTTATCCAGAATGCAAAGGCAATTATGTTCGCCCTGTGTTTAAGCAGCTGTAAGGAGAAATGCAACCTCTTTCCACAGCAAGAGCACGGAGCACTACAGCACTGTTATGAGATGCAGCTTTTATGTGAACTACTTTTTGCCATACAGTTGGATGCCATGCAACACAGTTAATCCCTTCTTCCAGCAGTCACTGTTTTGTAGGTTCAGGATGGAAAACTGGGGGCATGTTTTCCTTCAAGGGCAAAAAGTTAACCTTGCCCAAAATTGAGCATTTTACAGACATCATCTGTAACAGCATCGATGAAGCTACTGGCCATCACTTTATGGAGGTACTTTGTTCTCAAAAAGTTAGAGAAAATAAATCCACCATATTCAACCCAAAACGGATTTTACTTTCCCAAGCAACACAATCCATGAAAATAGGAGGTTTTGATAAAAACAAATTCTAAGTGACTCAAAGCACACAGTGCAGAATGAAAAGATCTTTAAACATCACAAGTGAGTAACCTTATTAACGTCCCTAGTTAACATTCATTCCACAGGGCTTTTCAAAAACAACAGGAAAATAATTTCCTCCTTTTTTTAATATTACCAGACTAAATCTCCAACTATGAAATATTAACAGATGTTCCCCGCTAACTGAAATAAAGCTCTGGATTGCTGAACAGCCAATAAGTAGCCTCCCTCCCTGCCCATGCACAGTTATTTCTGTGGTATTTTCAGTTGAAGACGGCCTACGCTCCTTTCTCAGAGGAGACCTTCCCATGCCCAAGCTCACCTGACCAGCTCCTCCTTCTCCATCGCTGCTCCACGACTGTCGTTTGCTGGAGAAGTGATGCTCTTGTGCCAGTGCTCAGGCCGGCAGCACCACGTAGCTGAAGGAAGTTGCATCAATCTGTACTTTCAGGCTCTGCACAGATGTTGCAATGCTTGCTGATTTTTCTGCAGCCACTACCGTAGTTCGGGGTTCATAAAAAGTACTTACGCCCCATTTACAGGAGGCAATGGAACAAAAAGGCACACCTACCATTCCTCTGTGCAGAAAGAAAAGGGGGGGGGGGGAAAAATGTGGATGACTCAAATGCAAATTCTCCCTCTGCATCAGAGGGGATCATGCACTGGCGCCTCCCTAGCACACGCTGCCTGGGCATCCAAACACGCCTAGAGGAAGGGTGATTTACAGACTAAAATTACTCTGCTTGAGGCAGTTGCATCCCTTTTACTACCTGAACTTTGCATACCTGTCCTTATCTCTTGGGGGACAGTGGCGTACACTGTCCTGGCACTGGCGTGTTGGCCCGTCTCTTCTCTACCTGCCCAGGCAGGTCAAAGTCTGTGAGACAGAAGGCTGGGACATTTCAGGAACACCTTCCCACACCACATTAGAGAACGCCACAGCACAAGTTTGGCTCTTATCCCTACAAAAAAATTCCTTAGATCTGCTTTTTCCACATGGATTCTTGTCTCACCGAAAGGTATTTTGCATTTTGCTCACGGGCTGCCCTGGGGGCCTGTGCCAGGGTCCTGCCAGGTAAAAACCAGGGTGATCAAGTAGAGCAGACCCCTGGAAGATCATGAGCAAAATGGACAGCGCTGCCTGGATGCGGCCACGCACTAGATGGTGCTGTCGAATCACGAAACACCAGCGAGCACGCTAGAGATGCTAAACCACGCGAAGTTATTGTTGGAAGCCAACACAACTCTATTTTTTGTTCATGAATGTGTTTATTATAATAAACTAAATATACTCCTCTTTATTTTTTTGCAGATAGACTCTGAACATTGTTCTTAGCTCTTCTGAGCTATTTGTTTCTGTGTAGTGCAATCTCAATGCCATGAAATAATCATGGAAAAAGTAACTAAGGGCATAAATCTGTCCTGCGCTTCAGAGAACGATACAGAAATGCTTCTTGTTTTAAAAATTTCTGCAATGCTTGCCCAGCAACGCATCTAAGTTGTCTTCCTGAAGGGAGTTTAGGTAACACTAAGTGTTGCCTAGCAATTGGGGAATAGCTACGTGACCCACAGACAGAGGATGCTAAGTCCTCCTGACCTCTGGGCAGAGCTGGGACCTTGAGCTCCTATGTCTGTTTTGAAAAATATGTTGAAGGATTTGAAAATTCTGTTTCTTTCTGAACGAAAACAAGCCCTCTCAATTCCAGAAGGAATGCTGAGGCTTTTAGTTTTGTGTTATTTGGTATGTAAAGTGCAAAATGCTGTACTTTGAAGAGGAAAATCATTTCCAAATCAAAGACTCAAATATTTTGATAGTATTCAAATCCCTTATGTTCAGTCCCTGCTCTCTCCCTCCACGCTACTAATCCAAAGCAAAATTCCAGTTAAGTCAGTCCAGCTTGATAAAATATTTAAGGCTGGCACACCTGTATTAGCCAACATCTTATTTTTTCATTCAAAGCTCCTAAGAACAAATCCAGTCTTCAGTCATGAAGGTGCTCTATAAAAGGCTCCCTTTTAACTACTTTAAAGAGCCTAGTGAAAGCTTTTTAAAAATAAAGATCATTTTATGAGACTATTACAAGGATAAATGCTTAGATCCATCTTTAAAGACTGCTCAGGCTATCACATTTCTTCCCTAAGATCGAAGATTTGGATAAAAGCATGACATTTTTCTGAAGTCCCAGGATCAATTTTAATTCCAATTAAATATGAGTGAATTCAGAGGGATCCTTCTGAAAGATGGGTAGCCAACAACTTCCTTACACCCCAGTCGAAAACCCTGGTTGCTTGTACCCAGACCAAACATCTCTGTCCTGACTTGTCTGGACAGAGCAAACACCATTGCCCGACTGCCTTGCTTCCGAGCTTCTGTTCCCTGATGGGCCAAGCAGAGCTCCCGACGTGCCTTGCACAGCACTTAGCACGGTGTTTCAGCATCCTAGAGCACTCAGGAAAGGCTAAGGGTACACTTGCTGACCAGAAGAGAGCGAGGTGCAAAGAACAATCATCTATCTTCCCCGTGACCATTAGCTCTGATGGAGTTTAGTCGGCTCTTGCTCCAGACCAAGGGATTTCTCATCACAGGTAATCTTGTAGGGTCTTTTATGCCAAAATGATTTGGTGACCAAAACCAGGCAGCACGGCCTGGCACAACACCCCGTCATACAGCACCTGCCCGGCAGTTGCACCCCGGGCAAAGTCTGGCACTCTCTAGAGATCCTGAACAGAGCCCATGGGAAGGGCCACCAGCCGTCCGCGCTGACGGGGTTACCCAAGAGCCCTCCCAGCCCCGACAGCTGGCCTGCTCACACCAAACATCAAGCACCGAACCATGGGTGAAAGTTTAAGTAAATTCTCCATCCCTGCTCTGCATATGTTCGTAAAGAGACTTTTCTAGAGCTCCTGCCCCAACCACTATGGCATTTAAACTATCTAAAATAAAGGCATGTCGTTGATGCATCTGATGAGTCAACTCTATTTCTTAAAGCAAGCAAAAGATCTCCAAATCATTAGTTTTAGGAGGATTATTACAGTGCAGTCCACCTCAGTTTGTCTGTAACATGACCTGGTCGTACATCGGACGGTGAGTCAGCAAGCGGAGCACTGCGACCGTGCTGCCCACCACAAGCCCCTTGCAGAGCAGTAGCTACAAACCTGCCTATGATCTGCTCTGACAGATCAAGCCAAGAACGAATGCATGGCACTGCTTTCTCATCCAGCCTCGCAGGGTGCAAAGTCATGAAAGAGTCCACAAACAAAAGGAAATTTGTAGTCATCCTCATGGGCGTGCAGCCACCGTCTAAGTGGAACTGCTTATGATCCACTGCAAATATCCTAGGTCCAAGGCACGGTTTCCTTTGCACTGATCCAGCAGGTTCCTGGTACAAGGCCAGGCCAATTTTGGCTCAGGGTCACATATTTTTTGCACTGCTATTGCCTTGGGAAGACAGTTTTAGGACCTGCATCCCCATGTTTCTTCACTCCTAAATACCCAAGACATTAAGCTAAGATTTACTCCCATTAATAACAGTATTTTGTAACAGCAAAAGCCATTGGGAAAAAAATTAGATAACGCTTTTCTTCAGGGTTACATTTGCTTTTCCATTAGTGACAGAGACTTGTAGAGCAAATCCTCCAGAGACGATTAAAGGTTTGTGACCTTTGTTCAAACCCCTGTCCTGAGGTTTAGCCATTGGCTTGACAAATCATACCCAGTTTTCTGCTCCTTCAGCGCTGTTTCACACCTGAATGTGCATGGGGCAGTGAAATTTGCTGACGGATAGCTCAAATAGCACCAGAATACCTTATGTCTCATCTTGGCGACGAGCACCAGTCGCAAGGTGGAGCAACAGCATTTTTGGGGGCAGTTTTCATCCTGCGTCTTATTTACATATCCGTAAGTGAAGGAGACTTACTGTTTCCTTTTCCCCACGTATTTCACTTTTGTAAGAGGAATTTGCTCAGTGGCTTGCCTCTGCTGAGCGAGAAGGCCAGAATAACGAACCCGGTTCAATCTGCGGACACGTGGACTTCAGGACCAACTTACACAGGGTTTGATGTGTCCTCACCGCACCTCTGGGGAAGAGAGACTTCTACTTCTTTTTACGTGCTAATGCGAAATGTAGTGTTTCTCTGCCGTGTTTGCCGGCAGCAGCAGCCCTGGCTCGGTGTGTATTTTTCTTGTTTCTATGAAATGGGAGATTTGAGTGGAAATGCTGAACTTATGTACGAAGCCAGGCAGCATAAAGGCAGCCAGTCCTGTATGGTGAGGGCTTGGGAACGATGGGAGAAGCTGCAGGAAAGGGCATCCCATAGGCCACGTGCCCAGCTGTGCTGGCCCCAGTGAAGCTCCCCGAGCCCTTGCCAAGGGCGGGTTTGGCCCACGTCTGCAGAGAAAGGGCGAGTGACGCCAGTGCCCAGGACGCAACAAGATTTCCCCCACAACACAGCAGCAACGCACCCTGGCTCGGGAAGGTGCAACTGTCCTCACTTCTCCTGACCTCGGAGGAGCTCCGATAGCTCAGCAGCTCTGGAAATCATGCCAGCAATGTGGATTGACAAAAAAAGCAGCATTTGGCCCCGACTCCTTTCAATATTTGTTTTTACTATAAAAGGAGAATCGTGCTGCAGATGACACATGGGTTAGCTGATTTAGTTACACAAGTAACTGGGAAAACAGAGCACTATGTTTTCAAATGCCCTTTTCTGCTTTTGACAGTTCAAATTCTTTTTAGACTTCACGAGTTGCTCCGTTTCCAAACCTGCAGCTATGCTATTTTAAGAGCTAATAAGAAGAGTTTCATTACCAGGCCTGGCCCATCACAAAGCATCTTCAGTCTACTGACTGCCTCGACGAGCTAGTCAGGAAACCTGCCTCTTTGGTCTTCAATGTGTTCAAAAACATTAGTCATCCTAAAAGAACAAACGCACACTACTCATCGTCACGTCAGCTTGGGAGAGGAAATCCAGTAGGGATCGAAGGATGTTCTTCGCTGTCCAGGTGCTGCAAGAGCATCGCAGATCCCAGGAGGCCGAGCTAACCACTTCCTCAGCGGCTTCTGCATTGCCCATAGTGAACGTTTTCCCGTCAGAGGTTTCCACCTCCTAATGATACCCTGGAGGCACGCGGCGCTGGAAAGCCAATGTTGAGACCTACTGTGGCAAAGTCCTGTCCTGCTTCCAGCAGGTGTTACACTCAAATCTCTGGGGCTGAGCGCTACTGTTTTACTGCTGTTTTACAATGACCATCTACTGAAAAAATAAAACTCCAGAAGCAGTAACAGTAAAACGGGAAGGAGGGCTGAGAGCGTACACGGTGACAAGGCCACCATGCAGTAACGTGTTTGGTTCAAAGCACAGCAATCTGGGAGCTTTACCCCAGCTCAGACAGCGAGAGGCCAACAATGAGGAGGAGACACTAAGCTGGAAGGATTTTCCCCATGTGTCGTGTCCCCTCTCTGAACAGCCATTGGGGATTTCACAGCTGGGGATACAGTACCAATCCTATTCCTAGCATATATCTGCTTGCTGTTGGCAGATGCTGCCTCGGAGCTAGGTCCACGTGGAGGTCCTCCAGGAGAGCTGTCCTGGGCGGAGGGCACGTCACTTCTCCACTGGCCGTTTCTTATTTGAGACGCTCCAGCTACCTTTGAACTGGCCAAGCCGAGCTGCGAGATCTCACGTGTGGATTTCCAAAGCCAGAAATGTCACGTGCCTAAAGCTGGGGGGACTGAGGCCATCTCTAATGGCAAGGCAAAGAACTAAGTAGCCTTTGTTTCTAAAAAATTGGAGTTTGGGGTGGAAGCACTGAGCATTTTCAGAAGCAAGTTTGCCCTCAGTAGCCATATACAGCCCTGTCTGCTGCTACGAGTTATAGCAAAACTTTGAAATGTGAATTTATCACTGGGCAGTGACTGCACTTTAAAAGCCTTACCCAGTCCCCTCTGGGACACCAGCAGCTCTTGGTCCTGCTCTGCCCACCAGAGTATTTGACAGCATATGTACCATGAAAAGGAAGTTTTTTCTGCCCTTGGAAGACCCATCTGAGCTGTAACTTTTTTTTTTTTATTAGACTTGCCATTCTGCTTGCAGCTCTGGGTAACTCAGCAATGGCACTTGTCCTTCGCAGGTGGCACAGACACTGCTCCCTTGGCCAACGCAGAAGTCACATCTGTTGTCGAAGACAAACAGTTTCAGCATATGGTGAGAAACCCTCAGAAGTGCAGTTTTAAATGAGCGTGTTACATACCTGTATTTCGCTTCACTTTTTGCATGAGAGGAGCTGATTCAGCAGCACTGAGCGCGCAGTATAACTGTTAGGAGGCATCTGTCTGTAAACTAGCATTGAGACCAAAAGCAACGTGAAAAATCAAAAATGGTACCCAGGGGTCAGGGGCATCGGTGCTCTCGCCAGGTTTCCACTCACACGTTTAATCAACACCAACCCAGTGTCACTGTAATGCCTTAAGTGATGCCACCAAGCTGGACAGTAAAATAAAAAGCAAAACAAGCC